GTCAAATTATAATCCCTTTAAGAACGTCAAATAAGCAGAAACGGAGATGATTCATTTCTGTTTGCCACTTTGGTTAGTGCCTTTTAATAGATTAGCTAGAAATGTATAAAAGTATAGTCTCAGCTAATTTGAAGTTTGTACTTTTTTAAAATAATAATGATTATGATTATTATTGTTATTACTATTCAGAAAGTGTTTTTTTGGTACTTGAATTTAATGAAATCTTTCCTGTGTGTGTTTTATAAGTATGGAGCATGTTCTTAATAGAGATTGCTCACTGGCCAGTCAGTTTTGGAACCAGACAGTAACCTTGCAGATGATCCACAGAAGACTTGACTTGTGTAGAAGGTTAAGAAAACTTTTTTTTAAAACTTTTTGACATTTATTTAAATATTTTTCCAACGTACATTGCTCTGATGAAGCAAAGACTAACAATAAATTTATGAGAGAATTTGAGGTTTTTTGTTATTTTGTGTAGCCATCTTGTAGAGAGTGCGTTACACTGTGAGCCTTAGCTGTAAATTTCAGAATGGTAACAGGTAAATGCAAGCTACAACTTCAAATTCCAAGTATGGACTTTCTCTAGTGAAAAATAATGTTTTGTTGGATGATTTCTTCTTCAGAATCAAATATTCTTGAAGTATTTCACTGCTTGAGAGTACTGTTATAGAGTCTGTATTTTTAATTAAATTGAATCTAGAAGTTGAATAGTGAAAACTGTATTTGTTAATGCAGCTATAAGCACAAATATGCTAATGACTATGTGGATAAGGAAAAAAAGCTATTTTTTTTAATAGCAAAATGATCAATTGTTCTGTGCAAACAGTTACAGGTTAAGTGACATATCATGTTATATTATTATTGTTTGAAATATTTGGCTGCCAGGCTTTTGATCCAGTAAGTGCATTACTTTGAGTTCTACAGCCCACAGTAAGATACAAATGTTTGTTCTCAACTCCTTTCATACTTTTGCTCTTTACTGACTTCATTTGTATAATTTAGTCAGTGGGTCATTAAGCTGAACTATGGAAAGGAAATGGTACAAAGTTAATAGTCAGGGCCAAAACATTGTTTTTAAAACTGACTGGTTTACTGAGTTCTATGTTTTATGACCATGTGGTTACCTACACATCAAGTGTTTTTTCAAATGCTACTAGAAGCACCTACAGCTTCAGGACAGAGTCTTCATCTCTACGGTAAAACATAAATTGAAATTAATAAAGGTGTTTTTTGTTAATTCTCCTGATTTTTGCTATTACTTGTCAGTTGCAGTTCTTGTTGGTTATTTGCTTTTCCTTAGGCAAGTCATAATTTAACAGGGAAGTATATAATCAATTCTCATAACTGTTGACTAGCTGGTTTCGTTACTTTGTTTAGTTAGATGGTTTTTCTCTGGGAAATGCATCTTGATGGATGTATTCACCTCCATATGGAATTCACAATTTTTGAAAATGTAAACCAGAATATTCAAGATCCACATTAATTCAGGCAGTTGTTTTACAGTAGTGTAGCTGTGTTACTGAATGGTGCCCTGGTTAGGGAGTCCAACAAACATGAATTTTGAATGATGCCCTGAAATATTTTTCAGTACGTAGTTTCGATCTAAAGTAAGTGCTACTTGTGTGTTAAAGTGGCAAATGTGGTTTTTAATTATGTCGCAAGTGACTGTGGTGTCCTGTATCAGAACCAATTTTTCTTCATCTTTTAGTGTATAAAATCATCTTGGTTTCTCAGTATTACTTTTTGGACAAAAGTATTTTCCTTGAGTAGAACTGTGAGGATTCGCCTCCCTGATACTTGTTTCAGCCTTGAGTGTACTTTGTAAAAAGTTCTGATTTGTTGAAGCTTTCTATGTTGACGTTTCCCAAGCTCTAATGTTAAACCATAAATAAGCAGTTTACTAGCAAATGATTGCAGTAGTAGCGTGTAATCTACTTTGATGTGCCTTCCTCTAAATGCAATATTTCTCTATGGAAAAAAGATTTATTTTCCTTTTGTTCTACAGCTCCTGGAAGGAAGCTTTGCCAGAGAAGTTAGCCATGAAGTGGATGGACTGATATTTCAGCCTACAGGAGTAAGTAGCATAAAAATGGATTTTTCTCCCTTCACTCTCAAATGAAATTCTCACCCTCCCTCCCCACTCATCCTCCCATCTATTACCTATTCTTTGCTTTGGTCAGGATTACTTTGCAGTGTTGGTTCTGCTTTTTCCAGTTCCTCACGCTACTTAAATTCAACTGGTTGCAATCTAATTTGTAGTATGTGTGACTTCGGATTAATCCATGGTGGTAGTTTTCAGGAATCAGCTCATGGGTTTTTTTGTGTGTGTACTGTGATGTGCTGCTAAATAAGGAATGATTTTTTCCTGACTGCATGAGTTCTGTGAATCTTTCAACCATTGATTTGAACTCTTGGGTTATTTTTCTTTCTTAAGGATGTTCACACATTAAATTTAAAATAAATTTATTTTCATTATTATTACATAAAATTTAAAATTTTAGTAAAATTTGTGACTTATGTTGTTTTAGTGCAATTAAAGCATGATGTGTTCTTGAGCCATGTCTGCCAGTATAAAGTTATATGGCTGGGCTGGGGAGAACGCACCAGAAGAACTGCAGACAACCAGAAGAAATAATGGAAATGGTTCTCAAGCAAGAAGGGTGGCTTTAAAGGAAGTCAGCAGCTTGTCCTCATCCGTTCTGCTACTGCTGCTGTTGACTCTGATACAGTGGATACACTGCAATGTGTAGCGTATATTGACATAGATAGTGACTGTAATGTCATCCATGTTGCATTTTTTCTTAGCTTGTAAAACAAGGAATTGTTTTTGATTATTTCAAATTTGACAGGTATTTCTACCCTTAGAATTTTTTAGAGAAAACATTCATATTTAGTTTTCCAGATAAAACACTTTTTTCTGGTTTACTTCCTCTATTGTAGATCTTAGGAAGGGTGATGACACTCCCATCTGGAAATAAGATTAACCTCTCTTCTCTACTGCAAGTTCTGCATCAGCTAATCACAAACTAACTGAGCAGTTAAACCACATACTTTTTTTTTTTTTTTTTTTTTTTTAATATATAGCTATTTCTAATTCAAAGCAAAACTACTAGGGTAAATAAAATTCATAGTTTCATAAGAAGTCGTGACGATGTCTTAGAATACTGTTAAAATCTAGAGCAATTGTAAAGGCTTCTCAGAACTACTTTCCTGAATATTAGAGGTTAGGCTATGCAGAGCTGCAAAAAGCTAAATTTGAAATTACCTTTTCTTGTTGAAATGAAATTACTGAAGAATGTGTCTCTGCTGTTGTTAGAGGAAATTAATATCTGATACGTTTTGTGTTTCTAGAACTTGTGTTTTCTGATTCAGTATACTGAGAAATTTATAATCCAACAAAAACCTGATTTTCTTGCATAAATGCTTATAAAGGTTTTTCATCTTTAAAATATGGAATATATTTGTTTAATCTAATTTAATGTTCAAATTTCAGTATCATTTCAAGATTTATGGCATATAAGTTTGTTGTATCTGTTACTAAAGTGATTTTCCTGGATTAAGCAATGTGCAGTTTTCTCAATGGCTTTTATAGTTCAGAAAATATAAATAATATATTTAGAGCAAAAGAAATTACTGTAGACCTGTTAATTGGGAAATAAGTATTAAAGCTGATTAACTGAAAAGCATGAAGCTGATGTGGATAGCTGCTACTGCTGTTTTATTTTATGTAGTACATAGGGCATAGATTAATAGGCAACAATACAAGGGCGACAGTATAACAATGCATAAATGATCCCTTGAGAATACTGACCGAAATAATTTTTGGTTTTGTGTTATAGTTGCAGTTATATGTGTGGTGTATTACATCTTTTCACAGAGAAAGATACCTGTTGTTGATTGGGGTAGAGGTCTGAATTTTGGTCACGATGAGAGTTAAAAACGTTTATAAAACCAGTTTGTCTGAAGAGGAAACCATGGCATATCCAGAAGAAACAGTTCTTAACAACCATTTTTATTGACATATTTGATCTTGCAGAAAAATAGACAGGCAGAAATGATGCTGGGTTTTCAAAGACCAGAGAAATTTAAGAACATCTTTTGGGAGCTCCTGAAGTCTCTTATGCGTTTTGAGGAGAAGAAAACAAAAGTAGACAGGAATTGGAGCAAAATCATGAAGAAGGATAAAGTGGCAGCAGAGGAGGATGAATAGAATGTGACCATTTACAGACAGGAAAAGTTTTGGGAAAAATACCTACACTTTTCATACTTTTAATAGTTAAAGTAGAATGGAGAAGTTAACTATTTAATATAAAGAATGTTGAGCTTATTAGTTCAGTCTGTTTGATGGTCTTTTCTGTGTGGTTTTTCTTTTTTTCATTTACTTGGAGATGTTCCTCTTGATCTCTGATCTTAGACACAGGCATCTAGACCTGAGTATATGGGTATATTCCCCACTAGCTGTAGGCAGCACTTGTTCGGATGGAGAAAGAATGTTTTGTTGTTTTGAAGTTTGATTTAATTCTGACTTAAAATAAACATCAAAATACCCCAAATGTATTGTGAGTAGGAATGATGTTTTTAGCCTGCAAGAGCTCTGGGTTTTCTCACTTTTCTTTTGGATTTGAAAAGATATGGCATCAAGTGCCTGTGAATTAGTTCGGTTTTGAGAAATGGGCATGCTTTAATGAAAAGGGACTTGTGAAAAGGTTTTACTACCAAATCTAGGGTTTCAGTTAGATATAATAGGGTTAATTTCCTTTTGTAAGTCTTCCTATCTAAACTCATGTTATGAATAGCATGGTTCTTGTACTGGAGTAGAAATTATTTTGCACTGTGACTGATGGTGGTGGAAACAACTTTAAGGAGTAAGGAGATTGTTTTCGGCCCATGCAGGTTAATTTATTTTGCAAGGTCATGCTAACTGAGCATTATTATTCCTAACTAATTCACCCGTTACTTGACTTACTTATATTGGTTATTGCCCAGGGTATACAAGTGCTTTAATTTCACAGCAACAATTGAAAGGCAATGACTGAGGCCTCCCTTTTTCTTCGTCTTTCTTCCCTTTCCAGAAACTGAAAGCTTTCACAGATCATGAGAAGAGCATGTTTAGTGCAAGTGATGGAGGTTTTTGCCTCGTTTATGATTTAAGAGTGCTTTGTAGGTGATTTGATGTGATGTGTGCTTCACAGTGCCCTCCTGTGCATCCCCTGCATTAACCTACCATTCTCTTAACTCCATGGTGAGAGACAAATATAAGACAATGTTTTCTTACTATTGTTTCTCTTCTTCCCTTTGTACTCTTTTCCTTTCCTCTTTTCCTTTTCATGCATCCTCTCTTTGCATCCTCCAATAGCCTGTTTCCCACATTCCTTTTGATTTCCTTTTTATGTCGCTTCTCCCTAACTCTTCTTTTCCCTGCATCATTTTCTATCCATTTAAGATGCTACCGATATAGCTCCCATATGGCAAAGTCAGCTCCATTCCATCTGATCAGCTTTCTGATCCCTCTACGTGTAACAGGTTGGCAGAGCAGGGACCGAAGCTAAGTGCTAATTAGGAGGAAGGAAACAGGCCAGCAAGGAACTTCATGGACAGGTATGTCACCCTGGGATCATGCCCCAGACAATGAGTGAATTAGTTTGCAGGTGAAAGCCAAAACCTTATTCACAGATTCTGAATGCTTGTGTAAAGATTAGAAGCTTTCAATCCTTTTTTTCTAAAAGGTTACTTCAAAACAGCAAGCAATTTCTTTCATTTGTTTTAGAACACTTGCGGTTTGCCAACCTGTGTGTTTTTAATGGAAATCTCAAAAATGGCCTCTTATCTTCTGTTGGCAAAATTGGCTCTCTGACCTATGCCCAGTCATCAGTGAAATTACTTTTGTTATCTGCCTTGTAAATCATACCTTTGCAAGATATCTCAGACTGTCTAATTTTTATGCTAGCAATCTCTTAATAACTGACTTTATTGCTAGCTAGAACTATTATTTGCCCTTGCTTGGGAAAAGGATGTAGGAAGTATTTTCTTACTTTAGCCACCTAAAAGAAAGCTCACTGGCCGTCAGTTAGGAAGGCCTAAGGGCAGTTTTTGATCATCTCTGGAAAGCTTGTATCGGAATTTATTCTCTTCCGTTCCATCTTTTTGCCTCCTGAGCTCTGTGATGTTTTCGCGTTGGCTCAGGCTGATTTCTGTTTGGTACTTCTCTGTGCTCTTATTTTGGATGAGGAATAAAGTCCAGTTGTGTGGGTTTGGGATTTTTCCGGGAAAGGAAGAAGGGCAGCTGCTGAGCTCTGTTCTTCTAAGAGAAATGTTATTTTAAAAACCGGCTGAGTTATTTAACACATAACTCTCCATACTGAATACTAACAAAAAGCTTAGCCTTTAAAATGAAAGGAGAGTAATGAACATATTTTTATTACTGACTAACATTGCATGAGTTTTTAATATATCTTCCTTCCTCTCCCTTGGCAGACTTCGTGGTAATCTGAAATGCTTGGTTGCCTGTTAATTATTTATGCTATTCCCATTGTATAATAGGCTGTGTTATTTTCTGTCATTGTAAAAGTTCACCCAACATCACTGAAGTTAACACCGAATGAGATGTCTCCAAAAGATACCACCAAATAAAATATCTCCAAAAGGCCATGTTTTGTTTCATTAAACAGTGCCAGTTTCTCCTAAATAATCCTATATAATTGGTAGGCCTTTTCTTCCACAGTATACGTTTTATCCACTGGTCTGTGAATTTTTAAACATAGGCCAAGTCAGTTGCTGGCATATTTCTGAAACTCAGACATCATGTTTACCAGTGATGGGGTATCAATTATTGTTAAATATTTCTATTGCAATAGCAAGTAATGGCTTCAGAGAAGCTCAGATATAGTCTTAATACCAAAGCTATATATAAAGGCTTGGGAAGGATCATATGATTACATGAATTTTTGCTTCTAACAAATACACAAATTTCTGGATTTAGCTTTCTAATTTTGTAGTGATTCATGTAAGATTTGGAGGCAATGGAATAGACTGGACTATTTCAGTTGAAAGGCACGTACAACAATCACCTGGTCC